ACACAAAGTCACCGCCGCCGCCGCTCCTGCCGCCGCCATGCTCCGCGTCGAGCGCGTCGGCGATCGCCGCCGTGATGGCATCCGCGGAGGTCGCAGCGCGCGGGGAGGACGACCAGAGCACAAGGTGCTGCGTGCCCACCGGGAGGAGGTACGGGAAGGGCTGCGGCCTCAGCGCAAAGCGTCCGGGCGGCGGCGCTTCGACGACGCACCGCCTGCCGTCGGCGCGCCTCTGCGTGGGAGACGAGAACACCTGGTGCATCACCTGGGCGGCGGGGGCGGCGGCGCGTCAGACGAGGGCGAGGGCGGGGCTTTGGCGTTGCGCGCGCGGCCGTCCTCACCCAGTCTCCTGGCGAGGCCCACATCGTGTCGAGGTTGGAGAAGAGCAACTCCTTTTGCGCCCGCGACGCCGCGTCGGGCCGGATGTGCTCGGCACCTGGAGTCCAGCCCGTCTGGTCGTGCAGCTGCTGCAGCGCCGTCTCGTCGGGCGAGACTTGGCAACGCATCGACTGGCGATTGGTCAGATTCTCGCCGGCGAGCCCCAAGCGAGCAAGGCGAACTGCCGGTTGCGCGCCACGCGCTCTGCGCCAGGCGATTTAACTCTCTCGCGCCGGGGTTCGGACTGCTTGGGGGTATGGAATGGCTGCGGCGGTCAGGACCATACCCCCCCCCGGCCTCGCGGTCGGCGGAGATTGCTAGAGGACGAGCAAGCCTGCTCTAGCCTCGCACGTTACTTCCTGTCGTCTGTTGTTTGTTGTGCCCTTGTTTGTTTCTCTTGGCACCTTGGAGTGCTGGGGGGGGCGACAGGAAGAATGTGGCCCTGAGTTATGTGTACGCCAACTCAGGGTGTGTGGCAGCCAGCTGGCTGTGTGTCTTGTGAGCTTGTTTGTGTCTGTGTGTCGTTCGTGCGTGTCGTCATCATCCGTCCCGCGTCCACCCATACCGCGTTGGTGTCCAGTCCGAGCCTGACTGCGTTGTTCATCTTTCTACATACATACATACCCCTCTGGGCCGTGACCTTAAAGGCTATATCCATGTTTCCTCGCGCACCCCGTCTCGTTTCCTTTCCGTGTTTCTCCACAGTCCACACACACCAAACAACTCCCACACCATGGTATTGCTAAAAATCTCTCTCTCTCTCACCACCCTCTCGTTTCCTCTCTAGTTTCCCGAGGAAACTCGTGGAAATCAGTTGGTTTGGGACCAAAATCAGCCAAAGCGGCAAATCGAGGTACCTCAGTGCTCAGTACAGATCGTTTGCCCCAGACTACCAGCTCTCAGACTCAGGGAAACTCGAGAGTTGCCAGAATGGAGCCTCTGCAAGAAAGATGACCAAAGTGCTGGGGATTCTAAATGCGAAATGGTATCATACCAACCCCGGAAAAAAATGGAGCTCGCCTAGGGTTGCGCAGCGACAGGAGCAAGGGCGTTCGCGCTGCGCTAGGTTCAGACGGCGAGTTCGCGCTGCGCTAAGGCTCAGAAAACGGCGTGGTGAGTTCGCGCGTTGTGGTTGTGCCTGTGCGGGCCTGCGCTACCGCTAGGCTCTTGCGGAGATTTGGGCTGCGTTGGCTCGCCAAAGTCTTCTTCTCGATGGCGCTGACTGGCAGTGTGTGATGACCTGTGTGTGTGTGTTTTTTAAGCAAACGTGCAGGACGAATTCTGTCACAGTGTCTCGATTGGGCGCGGAGGCGGAGGCGCTTTGCCGTGAGAGTCACACACGACACACACGACACAACAGAGACATAGAGACACAGACGCAGACGCAGACGCAGACACAGACATAGACACACACTGCGCTCCCCTAGCTCCCGCGCGGGCAGGGAGACGCGAGCCTGACGGAGTCCGGTGGTGGGGGCCCACGCAGCCAGCCAGCCCCTGCCTGCGCGGTATACAAAATGCGCCTGGAGCGGACCAGGGTTCCGGCTCCACCCGGATAGGGGGTCTGTCCCCACTGGCTGGCCCCTGCCAGATAGGTAGGTAGGTTGGTCTGGTTTGGCCCAAAAGGGCCCTGCAATAGGTAGGTACCGCCTATTTTCATCTTTTTCGTTCACTTCGCTGCGCGGCCTGGGGTAGGTAGGTAGTAGGGCGGTTTGTTTGGAGCGGCCGCACACTGCTCGGTACCCCCCCTGCACATCTAAAGTCATCCCTGCTGCTGGGTGGGGGGTGGGGTGGGGGGTGTCTGACCCCCCCCAGCAGCAGAGCGCTGCTGCTGGGGGGGGGGGGGGGTTCCCCATCCCCCCACCACCATATTGTTCCCTTCTTTCGGGGGGGGTTACCCTGCCCTTCTTTCGCCAGATCCGGGAGGAGCACCCACACGGGCTCTTCAAGACCACAATTGACTATGCCGGGGCGGTCAAGGAGACCCATCTAGAGAAAGCCCGTCATGTTCTCCGGCCGGTGGGGTGAAACCCGATGAACCCGATCCCGTCTGCGAGCACCTTAGGGGGAGGAGGGCGTTTCTCCACTCACCCAATGGGAAGATGATCGA